CATATCAAGCATGCACGAACGGCGATCAATTTCGCTGCTCGATGGACTCGAGTCGAGCCGTAGCCGGCGCGGCTATGAATTTTGTCGCGGGTTTCGATTCGATTCCGGTGCATTAACGAAAAACTGGGACAGAAAACAAGCTTCCTCGGCGTGACTGGCGGAGAAATATCGCCACGGGGGCGACAAACTCGCGACAAACACGCTGGAAGTTCGAATGGAGATGGCGGGTGACTTGGCAAGCTGTAATAAGATTGGTAAACAACATTGGGTTTAGGTATCTACGTATTATACGCAGCACGCGTCTTTCCTAATTAAAGGTCGCGCTGGTCGGTCACTTAGATTAGGTCTGAGTTAATATTTCTGTAATATAATACGTTAATGTTTCATTATCGTCACTATCATTATTGCTACTATTATTACTTCTTTATTTCTTAAAACAAAGATAGTTTAACACTTCAACTGTCTAGTAAACACTCATCGAAACTACGCAGTCGAAAGAGATTTCTTAATAAAGCAGAAACTCAAGATTCTTCATAACGATACTATCCTTATATCTCATATATCCAACAGAATTCAGTTCTCTCGTTACCAAGAATATTAGTGTTTATATAATCGACTGCGCTCCTTTCGTTTCAGTTCAGAAACTGACTGACAATTTTCTATTTTTACCTACAAACATTGTAAGTAGCACGACCGTTCCATTTTTCCATTTCTAAGCAGATAGGAATAAAAATAAATAATTGGGAGGAAAGTGTATAAGTCAACTTAATGTGATTCTACGAACCGATAGGTTGGCATATTTAGGTTAGTACGTAAGTACCTATGTTCGAACATGTAGAATCTCTTGACTTTTGTCTCCTTTTCGATTCTAATTTGTCGTTTGTCGATACGGTCACGCGCAACTGATCAAAACTGTGAGCAAAACACACCATTGCTTCTCTCCCGCTAGCCATTAAGTCGGGGACAGGCAGTAATTGTTCATGTTGCGTATCTTTGGTAACGAATCCGCAAATTAACCGCGAAACTTCAAGCGCAACGGGGCTCTTCCGTTATTCGCTCGCGTTTCAACTGTGCGCCTTTAGAATACGTTCCGCGTCTGCATGGATATCCTCTCGGACTGTTACACGTTGTTTCCGAATCGTCGATGTTATGCAACGACATGATAAAATGATGGAGGCGTTCATTTATCACCGCGGTAATGTGACAACGCGTGTAACACGTGTCTGCAAATCTGTATATTTTCGGATACTGCGTTCGCTCGTAAATAACCTCTGTCGCGAATGTTTTGCGGAGAAAGTATTGGAGGATAATATAGTGAGCGTTGTAGTCGGAATAACAGAACTGAGCAACGACTGGAAATATATATAAAACGTACAATACGTTAAATACAAATTTCGAATAGAGAGGAGATCGTAATGCAATGGAAAAGTTCCAACCCTTCATCTTACGATATTAAATTTCTAATAACGTTCAACCCTTTGCACTCGAAAAATTTTCCATAGAAATGTTTGAACATTTTCTGAGATAAAAAGAATATTTTGTGAAACTGGAGGAGAAATCATACACTGGGGAAGAAATAATATTAAATACAATATCAAGTATAATATTATATATCAAATTTCATAGTTTCACCGTATGGAATCTAATGGTGAACGATCACCTCTCAAGTGCAAAAGGTTAACACAACTAATATTACAATCCTAATTTACACTAAATTTATATTAAACATATAATAATAAGTACAACACACAACAATACACTATTTGCAAATACCGAATAAAAATTGCTTTACGAAGAAAAACAGGAAACCAGCAGAACCAACGACCTCGGGGAAAGAAAATCGCGCAAAAAGCATCGCAGAAACGGTAATAATTTCCCAGCGACTGTTTCAATTAACAGGCAACGTGTAGAGTTACAGGCGTATCGTAATTGCATCCTAATATTCCTCGCGGTGCAGCCCGGCCGCAAGGAAAAATTCGCGTGGAGAAGAAAAAAGGAGGCGGCCCGGGGCTGGCTCTCGTTACCGCGGCAGCGCAACCTCAGAACTCCGCCGGTTGCGGTTCCGTTCCCGTGTTCCGACTATTCTCGGCATTACGCAACGGAGCGGGAACCGCGGCTGCTGGTCGATCACCCCGGGTGAAAACCCGTTGATCCCTTGCGAAAACGCGACACCAAACGCCGCGACGCGACGCGACGCGACGCGTCAACTCTGTTTACAAGCGAAAGTTGACCTTAGCCGGAGTCTATTTACGTGGACGGGGCTCGGGAGACTAAGGGTGGGAAGACGTTCAGCCCCTCCAGCTTCGCAGCGAGTCATAATTGGAGCAAAGAAACAATTACAAGCTGTTCGATACTCTTAGAACCTGGTTCCTTGAAGATTTATTTCTAGAACGGCTTTAACCCTTTCGAGACGGATTTCGAATACGTCAGAGTTGAGAGATGAAATTGCGATGATAATACAGCTAAGGGGAGTTTGTTGAAAGACCTTTTTTGAAATTGTAAACTGTAAAGTGATTTTTAGTTTTCAATACGTTTTACAATGTGGACAAACGTGTGTCTCTCGAAAGGGTGAAATCGTTTATCGTTAGTTTCTCGAATTTCGAAGGCGAACGCAATATAGAGGATTGTTCGATTGGGGATCTTTATGGGAAAATACGTTTGCTCAGTGTTGCATTCCGTTTATTGAATTTACTTTTCTTCTGTTGACTGAATATATGGAATAACATACGCAGTGACCATTTTTCCAATACTGCGCTGTATCGAGATACTACGGGTTTTATTTTTAAGAATGACCAAGCGCTGCGAATAAAAACTCGGTATACCAGGAACGCTAATAAATCAGAGTTAAATATCCGTGTATTTCTCTTCTACGTCCAAGAATAAAAAACTCGAGCATTGAAAGAAATCATGTAGCTCGACCCACGTATTCAGTAACGACTAAAAGTCTGATCAATTAAACTTCGATCCTCCAAATTCTGCCAGCAACACAAATTCCTATAAAATCTCGCTTCATATTAAATTCCTCGTTTCCCAAATCTCCAGCGAACAACGCTAATAAATTATAAATCGATAAACAACAGGAAGTTTCATAAAATCTCCCTTCGATTTCCCAACGAAAAACAGAGAGTTCCCATCGATGAACCCCATCGAACAGTGCCGTTCGTCGAACAATCCGTTCTTACCTTATTCCGGATGCGCGACGGTAGTCCCCGCCGGTCGCTGCCTCCCCGTCAGTCTCTGTGGCGAGCGGATCGGTGGCAGCCGCGAACGAGAAACGCGGAGAAACCGAACACACTCACATAAAAGCACACACAGGGGAGGCCGGGTCGCGGTTTAACTCGCGGTTGATCGCGTCCGTGTCAAGAGGATCGTCTGTTTTCGCGGTGGGCCGTTCGTCGCGAATGTTCACCAGTTTCCGGCGTGCGTTGCGTTGCGTTGCGTCGCGAAGGGAGAGCTACCGAGAGAAACAGAGAAAGAAAGAGAAACGGGC